AGGTTGCTTGGTTAGTAGGGAAAGGAGAGAGAATAACATCAAGAAGCCCACATCAACTTACACATGACATGGATCGAGGACAGAAGTATTTCCTCACTATCAACCTTCCGGTAGCTAAGAACAAAATACACTCCTCGCCCAACGTGGGGCTCGAACCCACGACCCTGAGATTAAGAGTCTCATGCTCTACCGACTGAGCTAGCCGGGCACGCAAAATCTTGTTTCAGCAACTTTTACTTGAAGGAAGGGTTCCGGGTGTATCTAGCTTGAGGTTTGAAGTTGAATTTAATTGGGACAAAATTGGGGCACTAAAGACAAGATTATTGGCAGCCTGAGAAATTCAAACTCTACCAATCATGCTTGACTGACTGTCCTTCCCACTTCCGTCCCTTTTCTGCCAGCACCTTAGCCTTTCTTTTCCATCCCTGAGAAAAACAGGTGCTAAGGAGGGATAAAGTTCTCACGCTGATGCCATCGACGAGCTTAATCCATGAATTTTCAGTCCGAAGTTGAAATGCACCGTCGCGGGGTTGAGCCTAGAGTGGGTGAAGGTCGCCGCCGTGCCCACAACCTGTGCAAACTCCACGCTTTAGGGAGTTTGGGTTCTGAATTTCTAAACTCTGGAGTCGAGAGAAAGCAAAACAGAAGGCACTACTCGCCCTGGAGATGCCGGGGATCGAACCCGGGGCCTCATACATGCAAAGCATGCGCTCTACCACTGAGCTACATCCCCAGCCCGCCACAAAAGACACTCTAATTTCTGTTAGGTGGCTACTGTCAAAAGAAGCAGTCAAACGAAAGACATCTGCTAGTTGTGACAATCGAAAGCCTGCAAAGGCCAGCGGCCAGCGCTGGGAGCTATTCCAGGGTTCTCTACTGACTCTAAGCGAGTGGACTTCGACCGAGATGACGACCAAAGGGAGCACAGGACCAGGATAAACACTTGGAGGCAGCGGTGGAAAAAGAAGGGAAAGTCATCTGGCACGACGCCCAAAAATGAACTGTGAGCCAAAACAAGGAAAGTAAGATGAGGTGTAGTAAAGTCCCACGGACGGAAAGCCTGGGAGGCTGCAGTCCATGAGGTCACTAAGAGTCGGATACAACTGAGCGACTTCACTTTCGCTTTTACTTTCATTTTACATTCATTACTTTCATTACTTTCATTTCATTTCGTTACATTTATATGCATTGGAGAAGGAAATGGCAACCCACTCCAGTGTTCTTGCCTGGAGAATCCCAGGGATGGGAGAGCCCGGTGGGCTGCTGTCTATGGGGTCGCACAGAGTCGGACACGACTGAAACGACTCAGCAGCAGCAGCAGCAGCAGCTACGTTTGTTAAACAACGAGAAGAGTTGTTCAGTCGCTCAGTTGTGTCTGACTCTGCCATCGCATGGATTGTAGCATGCCTGGCTTCCTTGTCTTTCACTATCTTCCAGAGCTTGCTCAAACTCATGTCCATGGAGTCAGTAATGCCATCCAACCATCTCATCCTCTGTTGTCCCCTCCTCCTCTTGCCTTCACTCTTTCCCAGCATCAGGGTCTTTTCCAATGAGTCAGTTCTTCGCATCAGGTGGCCAAAGTATTGGAGCTTCAGTATCAGCCCTTCCAATGAATATTTAGAGTTGATTTCCTTTAGGATTACTGGTTTGATCTCCTTGCTGTCCAAGGGACTCTCAAGAAGTCTTCTCCAGCACCACAGTTGGAAAGCATCGATTCTTTGGCAGTTAGCCTTCTCTACTGTGCAGCTCTCACATCCATGCATGACTATTGGAAAAACCATAACTTGAGTCCGTAGACCTTTGTCGGCAAAGTGATGTCTGCTTTTTAATGAGCTGTCTAGGTTTGTCATAGCTTTTCTTCCATGGAGTGAGCGTTTTTTAAATTTCATGGCTGCAGTCACCATCTGCAGTGCTTTTGGAGCCCAAGAAAATAAGTCTCTCACTGCTTTTATTGTTTCCCCATCTACTTGCCAAGAAGTGATGGGACTGGATGCCATAATCTTAGTTTTTTGAATGCTGAGTTTTAAGCCAGTTTTTCCTCTCTGCTCTTTCACCCCCGTCAAGAGGCTCTTTAACTCCTCTTCACTTTCTGCCATTAGGGTGGTGTCATCTGCATATCTGAGGTTATCGATATTTCTCCCAGCAATCTTGATTCCAGCTTGGGATTCATCCAGCCTGGCGTTTTGCTTGATGTACTCTGCACAGAAGTTAAATAAGCAGGGTGACAATATACAGCCTTGATGTACTCCTTTCCCAATTTGGAACCAGTCCATTGCTTCATGTCCGGTTCTAACTGTTGTATCTTGACATGCATACCAGTTTCTCAGGAGGCAGGTAAGGTGGTCTGCTAGTCCCGTTTCTTCAAGAATTTTCCACAGTTTGTTGTGATCCACTCAGTCAAAGGTTTAAGCTTAGTCAATGAAGCAGAAGTTGATGTTTTTCTGGAATTTGCTTGCTTTTTCTATGATTCAACAGATGTTGGCAATTTCATCTCTGGTTCCTCTGTCTTTTCTAGATCCAGCTTGTACATCTGGAAGTTCTTGTTTCAAGTTTTGTTGAGAAGAGGGAGTGTAGTAAAGTGTGCAATATTTGTATAAAGTAATTCAGAATTGCAAAGCTGATGCTTGGGATTGTAAGGGGGCTGGGGCATAGGCGATGGGCAAAGTTTTTCACTGTTAAATGCTCTGTACATCTGAATTTTGAGCCATATTTAAATTAATTAAACCCGGGAAAAGTTTATGAAGCTCTATTGTGTACTTAGAACTGCTGTAGAAAACTGAGAGTTCGGCCATAAGCAAAACTGACGTAGTTCATTACATCTATCAGCTCTGGTTTCAGAGGAGGTCGAGTGCTAAAGAGAAAATAGAGCCAGCCTTGAGGGAGAGAATGGAGTAAAGTGTGATTCTGAGAAGGTGACATTTGAAGAAAAAAGGTTGAAAGGAGATGGAATGTGAGCCATGAAAGTGTCAGTGAAAAGAGAGGTCCAAGTAAAGGTAAGAGCCAGTTTAAAGGCCCTGAGTTAGGAGCTTTGTCACATGTTATTGCAGGAATAATAAGGGGGTCCATGCAGCAGGGGAGAGTGACAGGAGATGAGGGGATGTATCTCCTATCACTTTATATGCAGGGAATGGAAAGAAAGAATAGATAGTGCCTTTAGACAGTGTGAAGACTTCAACTTTCACTCTGAGAGAGGTGAGAGCCACAGGAGAATTTGAGGAAAGGAGGACCCCTATCTGACTTAACATTTTAACAGGATTGTTCTCACAGCTGGATGGAGAAGATAGGGCAGGAGGGGGACAGAAGGGGAAAGAAATGTTGTGATCATCAAATTATAGGTGATGATGCTGCGGAAGAATTGAAGAGATGCTGACAACTAGGGGTGGGTCCTGTGCATTTCCCCTCTCTTGGGGAGCCTCAGAAGACTCACCGGTTTGGGCCTGAGCACCTGGATGGTTGGAGTTGCTGTTAAATGGAGTGTAGTGGGGAAGGCTGTGGGAAGAGCAGGTGGAGGGGCAGAGAGAAGTGCATTGTGGATGTGACGAGTGTGTAACTCTCCCTTAGAAGATGCTGCCCAGTGAGTTGGCTGTGGGAGCCAGGCATCCTAGGAAGAGTTGGGCTGAGGATTTGTCCGTGGAGCAGGGGGAAAGTCTTTCCAGCAAGAAAGTGGAAGAGATCACAAGGAAGTGAGCATAGACAGAAAGTCCAAGGACCAAGCGAGGGCAGAGAGAGGAAGAGGAAACAACCGTGGTGACCAAGAAGCTGGTAGGAAGCCATGGAAGTGGGAGAAAAGCCAGGGAGTACACTACCCGGGAAGGAAGACATGGTGCCAGAAGGAGGAAGCATCCGAGGAGAGAGGCGGTAAAGCCTAAGAAGCCGCCTGCCTTGACCTTTGGCTTCTGATCTCTGCGGTCACCGGTGACCTTGACAAGCGCGGTTTCTGAGGAGGCTGAGGAAGAAAATCTGCTTCGAGTGCCCTCCAGAGGGAGTGATGAGAGACGTGTGTGTATTAGTCGCTCAGTCGTGTCCGACTCATTGTGACCCCAGGGACTGTAACCTGTCAGACTCCTCTGTCCAGGGAATTCTCCAGGGAAGAATATCGGAGTGGGTAGCCAGTCTCTTCTCCAGGGGATCTACCCGATCCAGGGGTCGAACCCGAGTTTTCGAACTGCGAGCAAACTCTTTACGGCCTGAGCCACCAGGGAAGCCCCCGAGGGGAGGCCGGGTGCCAGCAAATATTATTGGCAGCTCCAGACGGGTTGGGGAGAGCCGTACAAATAAAGCTAAAGAGACAATAGAGGCTTGGTTGGTTTAGGGGAGGAGGATAACACTGAATAAAGCGGGGGTGTTGACTGTAAGTGTATTACTGGCATTAAAAAAACAAAAATAAAGAATAAACGGGCAGAGGAGGACACAATCGCAAGGAAGCGGATAAAAGGCCACTCATGGGGGCGGGGGTAGGAGCAAGAGCCAGGTTCCAGACTCTAAATTTAACTTAATACAGGGCCGGACAAACCTGTGCTCCGGGAACCCGACACTGTGGTTCGGCGCCAGACCCTCGGGCTGTGCTGGGTCGGCCTCGGGCAGCAACTGGGAGTGGCGCCCAGGTGGGCGTGTGCTTCCACCTGTCCCGGCCCGTTTCTCACGGAGTCAGGCTTGGACAGCGTAGGCTCGGGTTAGAGCTGAGATAAGGGGGAGACGGAGAGAGGGCCGCGGGACCTCCGAGGCCGCTGGCCAAGGCGGGGTATTGAGGGGGCTCAGAGTGGGAATGCAAGGCACTGGCCCGCGCTTAGATCCCCTTGCCCTGTGCTACTCCGCCAGCTGTCCAGACGCGCCCTCCTCTAGCGTTTCTCAGCCTGGAGCACTCGGCTCTAGCCTCTGCCAGCCGGCGTCAGCCCCGCCCTTCCTCTTCCAGCGGCCGCTCGGACGCCCGCCCTGGCCGCGCACTGTCGGGTCCGGCAACTTCTCCAGCGCCGCCCGACTTCGGTGAGCTGGAGGCGCGCATGGCGGCGGTGGGGCCGCGGACGGGCCCAGGCGCCGGGGCCGAGGCGCTGGCGCTGGCAGCAGAGCTGCAAGGAGAGGCGACCTGCTCCATCTGCCTGGAGCTCTTCCGCGAGCCAGTGTCCGTCGAGTGCGGCCACAGCTTCTGCCGCGCCTGCATCGCGCGCTGCTGGGAGCGCCCGGGGACGAGGGCCACCGCCGTGTCCTACACGCTGTCCTTCTCGCTGCCCTGCCCGCAGTGTCGCGAGCCCGCGCGCCCCAGCCAGCTGCGGCCCAACCGGCAGCTGGCCGCGGTGGCCACACTGCTGCGGCGCTTCAGCCTGCCGGCCGGCGCGCCAGGAGAACACGGGCCTCCGGAGGCGGTGGCGGCCGGGTGCGCGCAGCACGGCGAACCGCTCAAGCTCTACTGCCAGGACGACGGACGGGCCATTTGCGTGGTGTGCGACCGCGCCCGCGAGCACCGCGCTCACGCCGTGTTGCCGCTGGACGAGGCGGTTCAGGAGGCTAAGGTGAGCGTCGTCCCCACCCATGCGGGTTCTCGGGACCTCCAGTCCCGGTTCTACATTCCCGCGCACGCAGGAAGGCCCAGGTGAGCCCCTGCTTTTTTTTTGTCCTATCCCATGCTGCCTGGCCGGAGAAAGCAATGGCACCCCACTCCAGTACTCTTGCCTGGAAAATCCCATGGACGGAAGAGCCTGGTAGGCTGCAAGTCCATGGGGTCACTAAGAGTCGGACGCGATTTCACTTTCACTTTTCACATTCCTGTATTGGAGAAGGAAATGGCAACCCACTCCAGTGTTCTTACCTGGAGAATCCCAGGGACGGGGGAGCCTGGTGAGCTGCCGTCTATGGGGTCGCACAGAGTCGGACACGACTGAAGCGACTTAGCAGCAGCAGCAGCATGCTGCCTGGCATTAGCTTCGGGACTCAACGCGGCTCTCCCTCTGTCACCAGCCTCCCACACCCCTCGCCATTTTCTTTGGGGCCCATACTAGACCAACTGCATGATACCCCACAGATTTGGCGATTTTCTGTCGGTCCCTAGCTTCTAGTAGTGCCTCCTTCACCCCCCACCCCCCCCCCCCATCTGCTACCGCTACTATCAACCCTTACCACCGGCATAGCTCTGTTCAGTGTTCTCTAACCTCTTGTGGCCAAGTGAGACGACCTTCCCAGGAGGTTGTGCTAAGGGGGTGAGTGGATCCAGGGTTGAGAAGAGTGCCAAGAGCCACCTGTGATTCTGGCTGCCAGCCGCCTCCCTTTCCTGCCAACTTGCTGGGGTGTGCACTAAGAGGCCTGCGCACAGTCCCCGGTCGTTCTTTGCTCTTACTCTGCTCCAGCCCTCTTACCCAGGTGGCTTTCTGATGGTGGTGAGGAGAGCAGAAAAGAGGACTAGGCAGACTGGGCGGCTGGAGCACTTGCATTTCAGCCTACATTGTGCACAGATGGTCTTGAGGCTAGGAGGCCCTGAGGTCTTTGGAATCAGCTTGCACTTGCCCTGTACCCTTAAGTGCAGCCTGTGTAGGCTGCATCCATCCCAACCTCCAGAGGTGGCTTTGATCCTCCTCCGCCTCAGTGAACAGGGCCTTCCCTTTCTTCCGGGTGGTTTCAGGAAGCCCCATGTGGGGGTTTCCAGAATCTTCTCCCCACAATGTCTTCCTTCTCACCCTCCTTCAGGAGCTCCTGGAGTCCAGGCTGAAGGTCTTGAAGAAGGATTTGGAGGACTATGAGGCCTTTCGTTCCACAGAAGAGAAGGAGAGCAAGGAGCTCCTGGTGAGAATGGCAACCCCCAAGTTGGCTCTCCCTTCCCCAAACCCGTGCCCCAGGCTGACAACAGAGGGCCCCCTACCACCCTGGCTGGGTGTGTTTGGCTTTGAAGTGTGTGCCTATGGAACAGAGGTAGATTTTAGAAATATCAGTACAGTTCAGTTCAGTCACTCAGTCATGTCCGACTCTTTACGACCCCATGGACGGCAGCACACCAGGCCTCCCTGTCCATCTCCGTTGAACACTCAGGACTGATCTCCTTTAGGATGGACTGGTTGGATCTCCTTGCAGTCCAAGGGACTCTTAAGAATCTTCTCCAACACCACAGTTTAAAAGCATCAATTCACTGGTGCTCAGCTTTCTTTATAGTCCAACTCTCACATCCATACATGACTACTGGAAAAACCATAGCCTTGACTAGACAGACCTTTGTTGACAAAGTAATCAATTCAGTTCAGTCGTTCAGTTCTGTCTGACTCCTTGCGACCCCATGAACCAAAGCATGCCAGGCCTCCCTGTCCATCACCAACTCCCAGAGTTCACCCAAACTCATTTCCATTGAGTCAGTGATGCCATCCAACCAGCTCATCCTCTGTTGTCCCCTTCTCCTCCTGTCCTCGATCTTTCCCAGCATCGGGGTCTTTTCAAATGAGTCAGCTCTTTGCATCAGGTGGCCAAAGTACTGGAGTTTCAGCTTCAGTATCAGTCCATCCAATGAACACTCAGGGCTGATCCCTTTTAGAATGGACTGGTTGGATCTCCTTGCAGTCCAAGGGACTCTCAAGAGTCTTCTTCAACACCACAGTTCAAAAACATCAGTTCTTCAGCATTCAGCTTTCTTTATAGTCCAACTCTCACATCCATACACGACAACTGGAAAAACCATAGCCTTGACTAGACGGACCTTTGTTGACAAAGTAATGTCTCTGCTTTTTAATATGCTGTCTAGGTTGGTCATAACTTTCCTTCCAAGGAGCAAGCGTCTTTTAATTTTATGGCTGCAATCACCATCTGCAGTGATTTTGGAGCCCCCCAAAATAGTCAGTCACTGTTTCCCCTGTTTCCCCATCTATTTCCCATGAAGTGATGGGACTGGTTGCCATGGTCTTAGTTTTCTGAGTGTTGAGCTTTAAGCCAACTTTTTCACTCTCCTCTTTCACTTTCATCAAGAGGCTCTTTAGTTCTTCACTTTCTGCCATAAGGGTGGTGTCATCTGCATATCTGAGGTTACTGATATTTCTCCCAGCAATCTTGATTCCAGCTTATGCTTCATCCAGTCCAGCATTTCTCATGATATACTCTGCATATAAGTTAAATAAGCAGGGTGACAATTTACAACCTTGACATACTCCTGTTCCTATTTGGAACCAGTCTTTTGTTCCATGTCCAGTTCTAACTGTTGCTTCCTGACCTGCATACAGGTTTCTCAGGAGGCAGGTCAGGTTGTCTGGTATTCCCATCTCTTGAAGAATTTTCAACAGTTCGTTGTGATCCACACAGTCAAAGGCTTTGGCATAGTTCATAAAGCAGAAACAGATGTTTTTCTGGAACTCTCTTGCTTTTTTGATGATCCAGCGGATGTTGGAAATTTGATCTCTGGTTTCTCTGCCTTTTCTAAAACCAGCTTGAACATCTGGAAGTGCACGGTTCATGTATTGTTGAAGCCTGGCTTGGAGAATTTTGAGCATTACTTTACTAGTGTGTGAGATGAGTGCAATTGTGTGGTAGTTTGAGCATTCTTTGGCATTGCCTTTCTTTGGGATTGGAATGAAAACTGACCTTTTCCAGTCCTGTGGCCACTGCTGAGTTTTCCAAATTTGCTGGCATATTGAGTGCAGCACTTTCATAGCATCATCTTTTAGGATTTGAAATAGCTCAACTGGAATTCCATCACCTCCACTAGCTTTGTTCATAGTGATGCTTCCTAAGACCCACTTGACCTCACATTCCAGGATGTCTGGCTCTAGGTGAGTGATCACACTATCATGATAATCTGGGTTGTGAAGATCTTTTTTGTACAGTTCTTCTGTGTATTCTTGCCACCTCTTCTTAATATCTTCTGCTTCTGTTAGGTCCATACCATTTCTGTCCTTTATTGAGCCCATCTTTGCATGAAATGTTCCCTTGGTATCTCTAATTTTCTTGAAGAGGTCTCTAGTCTTTCCCAGTCTATTGTTTTCCTCTATTTCTTTGCACTGATCACTGAGGAAGGCTTTCTTATCTCTCCTTGTTATTCTTTGGAACTCTGCATTCAAATGGGAATATCTTTCCTTTTCTCCTTTGCTTTTTGCTTCTCTTCTTTTCACAGCTATTTATAAGGCCTCCTCAGACAGCCATTTTGCTTTTATGCATTTCTTTTTCTTGGAAATATAATGGTATGCATATCATATGGTGTGACCATGTAATTTATTATATAACCAGAGTTTTGAGAGTAAAAGGACAGCTAAAATAATTATTTCCGAACATCTGGCTTAAACTGGAACTGTTCCAGTGAATCAGGAAGTACAGTCCCCCTAGTATGACATAACACCTCAGTTAGGGTCTGTGGAGCATCTTGTAATTAAATACATTAATATTCCTGTAGAGAAACATATGAACAGAATATAAGTAGCCTTCCATCAGTCTTAGGGAATGTTTTACCACCAAAGGAGTTATGACAAAACTTTTTTTCATTTTTAGAGTTTTTTAGATTTTGAAATTGAGGCTAGGAGAGAGGGGGTTGGGGGTGGAGGAAGAGATGGCAAAGCTGTTCCCCAACCAGCAGAGGGCAGAGGGTTTGGGGACTTGGGTTTTCAGCAGCTGACTGTGCCAGCACCTCTGTGCCCAGAGCTTGGGGTAGTATTTTGTCTTCCTTGAAGTGAAACAGGAAAGTGAAATGGGGTTCATTTTATTTAAGGTGGGCAAATGTGGGTCACTGTTATTTTCTATCTTGAAAATTCAGTTCCTGGTTGTTAGCACAGAGATCTCTAGTTGTGAAGTTGGAAAATGGAGGTAGAGGAATCTGAGGACCCCTCTAACCTTAAAGGGAGGAGAGGTGGGGTGAAGGGGAGGCATGTGTACATATGACCCAGTGTTCTTTCCTGATCCTGAACTGCATCGGGCACACTTGCATCTCATGCACACCTCAGGCCTTCTCTTCTGAACATTCACTTCCCTCCATAAGGAAAAACTCACCCCTCCACACCTCCACCCTCTCTGCTGGAAAAAGGAATAAACATGTGGCTCTTTGGCCATTGCTATACATCTATGACCAGAGGGCCTTCTCCAGCTTGGGGAGCTTCATGGTATCTGATCCTACATCCTATGGCCTTGCTTAGCACTTTCTACTCTGTCCTACACCCACCCAGCTAACCCCTCTCTGGCCCATACATCCTTTATAACTGCAAAATACCTGCTTAATGAAACAATTATTGCTGCCATGAGAACAAAGAGAAAGAACATTTTTATTTGAAAATGCTCTTACTATTTAGAGAAGTGGTTCTCAACTGATGGCAATTTTGGGCCCCAGGGAACATTTGGCAATGCCTGGAGATATTTTTGGTTGTCAACACTGGGGCAGAGGTGCTACTGGTGTTTACTGGTAGAGGCCAGGGGACTGCTTAAACATCCTGCAAAGCACAGGACAAAGCCCTCCACAACAAATAATTATCTAGCCTCAAATGTCAATAGCGCCCAGGCTGGAAACCCTGATTTAGAGTATTTTGGCAAATATTGTTACACTTGTGTTATTTCCACTTGTGTTATTGTGTAAGAAGCTTGGACTTTGAGGTCAGACTCCCTGGATTAGAATCCTGACTTCCCACTTCCTAGTAATTCACCCCTCTGTCTTGTCTCCCCATTTGTAAATTGGGATGAGAGTATATCCATGCCACTGGGCGGTTGTCCCCACTGAGGGAGCTGACATCTGTAAAGTGCCCCGTGTTGCTGCTGCTTGTTTACCAACATCCTGAAGACTAGGCAGCAGTGACCTGAACCCTGGGTTGCCTGACTTCAGAACTCACAGTCTGCTCTTCTAGCTACTCTTTCCTCCCATAGCATTTTCAGGGAAAAGGACATTTGAGCTTCTCCTGGAGGGATGGGACTCTTCTCGCTGGCCACGAGAGGCGCCACTTGTGATATCACACAGAGTCCCTCCCATGTGTTTGTGTAAAGAATCAAGAGGATCAGGGGTGAGAGTCTGGATCTAAAAACACAGGGGAGAAAATCCCGTGAGTAGTAATAATGGAAAGAATAGACTATAAAGCTTGCACACAGCATATTCTCACTTAGGTCTTGTGGATATGCTGTTAACCTCTGATCGCTGGCATTGATTTCACTTTCTTCTTTCTTTGCTGTTGTGTTCAGTTGCTAAGTCCTGTCCAACTCTTTTCGACCCCATGGACTGCAGCATAGCAGGCTTCCTTCACCATCTGCTGGAGTCTGCCCAAACTTATGTCGATTGAGTTGATGATGCTATATAACTATCTCATCCTCTGCCACCCCCTTCTCCTTTTGCTTTCAATTTTCCAATGAGTTGGCTCTTCACATCAGGTGGCCGAAGTATTGGAATTTCAGTTTCAGCATCAGTCCTTCCAATGAATATTCAGGATTAATTTCTTTTAGGATTGACAGGTTTTATCTCCTTGCAGTCCAAGGAACTCAAGAATCTTCTCCATCACCACAATTCAAAAGCATCAATTCTTCAGTGCTTAGCCTTCTTTATGGTTCAACTTTCACATTCATACACGACTACTGGAAAAACCATCGCTTTTACTAAACGGCTATCACTTTGTCAGCGAAGTGATGTCTTTGCTTTTTACTACACTGTCTAGGTTTGTCATAGCTTTCCTTCCAAGGAGCAAGTGTCTTTTAATTTTATGGCTGCAGTTACCATCTACAGTGATTTTGGAGCCCAAGAAAATAAAATCTGGTTTCCACTTTTGCCCCCTCTATTTGCCATGAAGTGGCAGGACCGGATGTCATGATCTTCGTTTTTTGAATGTTGAGTTTCAAGCCAGCTTTTTCACTCTCCTCTTGCACCCTCATCAAGAGGCTCTTTAGATCCTCTTCATTTTCTGCCATTAGAGTGGTATCAACTGCATATCTGAGTTTGATATTTCTCTCAGTAGTCTTGATTTTAGCTTGTGATTCATACAGCCCGGCGTTTCGGCTGATGTACTCTGCATAGAAGTTAAATAAGCAGGGTGACAATATACAGCCTTGACGTACTCCTTTCCCAATTTGGAACCAGTTCTTTGTTCCATGTACGGTTCTAACTGTTGATTCTTGATCTGCATACAGGTTTCTCTTGTGGCAGGTAAGGTGGTCTGGTATTCCCATCTCTAAGAATTGTCCACAGTTTGTTGTGATCCACACAATATTCACCCTGGCAGCAACAGTACCAATGTGGAGGCCTGATACAGCATCATCCTTGAAGGAAACCAGTTACTTGGTAGCAGATGGATTGCCTTGGACCTCTTCCACCCTGGAAGGGACAGTATTTTATCTTGGCTGAAACTGACACATATTCTGAGTAAGAACTATCTTTTCTGCCTGTGGAGCCTCAGTCAGCACTACTAAGGGCTTAAAAACTGATTCATCAACATGCATTATGATCCTAAAGTGACTTGGGTGTCTGATTAAAGAGGGAATTTAAATATCAGAAGTGCTTTGAGAGACTTCCCTGGTAGGTCTGGTGTTTAGAGCTCCATGCTTCCACTACAAAGGCATGGGTTCAATCCCTACTCAGGGGACTAAGATCCCACATGCCATGTGGCCAAAAACACAAAAAACAAAACCAAAAAAAAGCTGTGAAAGTAGAGTTATTTAAAATTTACTTCCAATTTTGCAATTTTGATATTCTATTAGTACATGTTTTAACACTGAATATGCTTCTTTAAATGTGAGACCTGGCACCATTTCTCCATACCTTGCTTCAGCCTTGTAGCCTAACAATGACTTAGGGTACTATGTCGGCTTGTCTGTCTGACAGCCAGTGACATCGTTGGTTCACTCTAAGTTTCTATGTCTTAAAACAAATTTTCACCGGCACCCCCAGCTCCACAAAGGTTTTGCTTCAAAGTCACACCTTAAAATTGCCTTGTAAATCATCTATTAAATCATTGCTAAAAATGTTGAACTAAATAGAAGTAAGAAGAGTTCAACAGCATTATGTCTGAGATCTCACTGTGTGCTATAAAAGGTGTTTTCCAACTCTACAACTTTAATGTTTTCCAACTTTCCAACTCTAGTAACTTGAAACCATAATGTGTTTGGATTTCCACAGAATAAAGATCATAAATTTGGCCACAGACACAGAATAGAAGGTTGGTTACTGCAAAGTTGCTACAAGGGTAGGGGCTGGCATGGTTTTATCAGACAGGTTACTAAACAAACGTTGAGGAGGCCATTCCTTATAGAATGGTTTAAGATAATATTTCTGGGAGAGCTGTAACTGTAATTAGGTCTCAGTTTGGTGACATGGGGGTTAGCATAAGTGACTCCACTTGGAGCCTGTTGTCTTGTTTTTAACACAAAATAAGTGTGTTTGGGGACCTCAGCTTATCTTTACAGTGACTACAGAAGGCACTGATTTATCTCTTCCACTTTTCAAATGAGGAAACTGCAGCCCTGGGTGGTTCTGGAGTTGGTTTGAAGTTGTCTTAGGTTGATGGGAGAGCCCAGGTCTAAAGTGACACATGGGCACAGCGGTGACAGGGGAAGAGAAAGCACATGTTGAGGCTACCGCATGCTTGGAACTGTGATACTTAAACTAGAGTGTGTGCACTGTGGGTACGTGTACATGACTCTCTGACCCCCTAGCACTGAGGGAGATGGAACCCTGTCCTGGGAGATGGCTCAGAGGCTCCCATCCATATGGGATGGGATCGATGACCCATCGATGACCACATCCCTTGCCTTCTTCAACTTCACTTCTCCTGAGACAGAAGCAGATGGCAGCTGAGCAAGAGAAAGTAGGGGCGGAGTTCCAGGCTCTGCGGGCCTTCCTGGTGGAGCAGGAGGGTCGGCTCCTAGGCCGCCTAGAGGAGCTGTCTCGGGAGGTGACACAGAAACAGAATGAGAACCTGGCCCAGCTTGGGGATGAGATTGCCCAGCTCTCCAAGCTCAGCAGTCAGATCCAGGAGACAACGTGCAAGCCTGATCTTGACTTTCTCCAGGTGAGTCTGGCTTGGCCAGGGGTATGAGTCATTAATTTTAAGGCAGGAGGCTTGAATTTATCCCTCCCACTTTGCAAATAAGGAAACAGCAGTGAGAACAGAATTAGTTTAGTAGAATCACACAATCTGGAGCCAAAGGGTATTAAAGAGAAAAGCCCTGATTTTCCTGGGGTTAGCAGTCTAAAAGGATGTGATTAAAATTTTTCTTGACCATGATCCACAATAATATATCTTACAGTGCATTCTATTATATACATATGTGTGAAAAAAAGTCTCAGAAAATAACACCTGTACTATATGTGTTGCACTTTGATGTTTTCTATTCTATCATATGTCCTTCTAAAATAGTCACAATCCACTAATTAAACTTCACAAGTCACAAATGGACAAATGGATCAAAAGAGGTCATTTAAGGGAATTCCCTGGTGGTCCAGTGGTCAGGACCCTTGTGCTTTCACACAGATCAGGGAAATAAGATCCCACAAGCCATACAGCCAAAAAAAAAAAAATGGTCATTTAACAGGCACCAGTCTAAGAATTTTTTCACCTTGTTTTATGGACATGACCGAGCGACTAACACTTTATGTCCCTGGATATGTTCCAGTGTTTCCTGGTTTATAGTCTATGGGAACTTTAATAGAATTTATATCTTGCTGTTGTGTGAAAATTGTATAAATCTTAATTATGTTGGATTGGTTCACAGTGCTTTTCAGAACTACTGTATCCTTCTACTTGTCTGTCTATTCATTTTATTAGTTTTTGAGAGTCTGATATTGAAACTTCAACTAAAAATCTTATCTACTTAAAAAATAATTGTGATATATAGTGGAACTGTATGTAACTTTGTTCTATATTTTCCAAGTCTCTGGTAAATGTGTTATCATACTTTCATAATTTAAAAAATAAAAAAGAAGAAAAATAATAATATATGGGGCAAAAAGTACTGATCTGAGTGACGAGTTGTTGCATAGGGGCTGTCAGTTATCTTGAAAGTGTTAGTCACTCAGTGATGTCCAACTCTTTGCAATCCCATGGACTATAGCCAGCCAGGCTCTTCTGTATAGGCAAGAATACTAGAGTGGATTGCCATTTCCTTCTCCAGGGGATGTTTGCTACCCAGGGATCAGACCCAGGTCTCCAGCATTTTAGGCAGATTCTTTACCATCTGAGCCACTAGAGAAGCCCCATCAGTTTTCTTAGGCGATGTTAAAAGCAAAAGCAATGCTGAGTCCTGGCACTTGTCTCCAGTGACGATTCTGTAATGATGGGAGCAATTGCAGAGGGGTGGGCAGGGTTGAGGGGTCTACCTTGTTGATGAGACACGCAGTGGTCTGCCACATGAGGAAGCTGTTGCCACATGGGGCCCATGCAGCCAGTGTGTGTGTGGGGTCATACATCTCTGTATTGCTTATTCCTCTGGAATAAGGGACCAGTTTTATTTTCTTAAAGGTGAATGCTGATTTGGTTTTCTCTTACTTTTCCTTCCAGGAATTCAAAAACACACTAAGCAGGTGAGTGGACCTAACAATACCTTGGGCCTCTCTAAGCTGGCTCTTGTCTTCTACTGTGCTTCCTCTTGTCATTCCCCATCCTGACTTCTCACCTCCTGTTCCCCTCACCAACTCACCTGAGTACTTTCTAAGGCAAACTTCTGCTGCCTGGCCATGGGTATTCGGCACAGGGTCAGGCTCTTCGTTTCACCTTTCTTTACCCAGAGGACCTCACCATTCTAACTGTCAAGCCCAGTGGGAGTGGGACAGTGGTTGTGGGTCTTCTTCAGGGTGCTTGTCCTGCAGGTGCAGCAATATGCCTGCCCCCAAGCCAACCACAGTCTCTTCTGAGATGAAGAATAAAGTCTGGAATGCTTCCCTCAAGACCTTTGTCTTAAAGGGGCTGCTCAAGAAGTTCAAAGGTAGGGGCCTGTGTGTGGGGCTGGGCCTTGCAGTCCTGGTGTTGGTGGTTTAGGGTCCCAAGGCTGTGCCTTTCCAGAAGCTGTGTGATGATAAAGCAGGAACTAGTGTGTCTCTCAAAGGCAGACTGGTTCGGGCAGTTAGTGGTGGCTAATTTATTTAGAACCCCCACCCCTACCCCAGGACACAAAGCTTCAACTGAAGACAGATGGGAGTCGAGGGTCATTAGGGGCAGAAAGAAGGATGAGGAAGGAGAGCTCAAGTCAGAAAAAAGAGGGGGAAGTGGAAGAGGTAGAGTTAGACTACTGTCCTCTTTCTACCCTTGGGCTTGGCCCGGTACCTGCCTGTCCTCTCTGGGTTATCTGGGGGTGAGTGAATCAGTGGGGCTTAAAAGTCAAGAGATGGTGTCATTGCCAGATAGACACTGTCCATGTTCATGTTTCTTCTCTCAGAGGATCTTCGGGGAGAGCTGGAGAAAGAGGAAAAAGGTATGATGGTTGTTGTGACAGTGAGTACCTGTCATTTGGCCATGTGGAGATACAGTGACTGTCTCTCTGGGCTCCGTGCGTGGTTGGTTCCTTCTGCCCATCTACCTAAGCAACTCTGCCGTCAGCTGTCCTTTCTCCCTCATCCTCATAATTATGATTCCTTCAGGTCACAGTGGGGCCCATAGGCCTATAAAGCTATGGGTCATTCCAGAGTAGGAGTGCCCTGCACCTTGGGGTATTTACATCTGGAAGGGCTTGTCAGTCACCTGCACAAACCTCTCTTCCCTGTTCCCACTCCTAGACAGATGAAGACCTCTTCTGAGGACAGGGGTTGTGTGCTGGGTCAGGGGTCAGATTGAAAACAGGAAGGGAAGCGGTTATTACTCTTGCAGAGTTCTGGGGTGAGTGGGATCTAACCCCAATGAGCTGGGAAAGTGGGGAGGGGAAGGCATATATTACTGATGCGGATGACTAAGCTAAGTCGTATCTTATCTAGTAAACCAACTAAGTCAGACTATGTCCTCCTCTGCTCAGGACTCTGTGACAGCCCAGCCTCTCCCTCTCACTCAGTAAGGGCTGGAGTCCTTGCACTGGTCTTCAGGTCTCATGAAATCTAGCCTCACTGCATACTCTTCCCCTGGTTCACTCTGTGCAGCCACACATGCGCTAGCTGCTCCTGGGATGCACCAGGAGCACACAGCTACCTCAGGGCCTTTACACTGCACTGTCTGTGCCAGGGCCTGGAACACCCTTCCCCCAGACAGCCACCTATCTGGCTTTCTCATCTCCCTGATGTCTGTACTCATATGCACATTTTCGGTAAGGTCTTCCCTGGCCCGTCTAGTTGAAATTACAGCCTGCTCTCCTGATCCCTTTATCATTTATTGTCTCTCCTCTTTCTCCCCATAGAAAGGAAGCTGTGGGAGGGCAGGGATATTCCTCTGTGGGATTCACAGGGCCTAGAACAGAGCTGGAACATAGTAGTACTTACAGCAAGTGTGTGTATTTTAACTTTTCATTATGGAAGTTTTCAAACAAACATACACTAAAGTAGAGAGAAGAGCATAACAAGTATTATGTACTCATCATATACCTTCAGCAATTATCAACTCATGACTAGTATTTTTCATAAACATTCCTAACCACTTCTTGCCACTGGATTATTTTGAAGCAAATCACGGATAACTGTGATTTCATATATATCATTTCATATATATCTCAGTATGCTGTCTCTAAAGAGACATACTTTTAAAAAAGCATAAAGAGAAAACCATTGTTATAAATAAAAAATTAATGATTCTTTCCAGTATCTAGTGTCCAAAATCCCCCAAGTGTCTTTTTGCTATAAAATACAGTTTAATAATACATATATGTTTTAAGTAAAATTTTACATAGTATCACAAAGGTAATATAATAGCAAAGAAAACTTTATGGACAAACTTTTCCATAAATTATGATTCAAGTCTTTTAAACTGGATTTATTGATTTGTTTGAATTGAGATCCAAATCAAGCCCATAAACTGCAGTTGTGTGATTTCAACATATACTTATTTGAGGGGACACTGGGGCGAGGGGAGCTGTGCAAGGAGCCTGCATGGGAAGCCTTCTCCCTGTCTCCCCACCCCGCCTATCCCCCACCCTCCGCAGTGGAGCTGACCTTGGACCCCGACACGGCCAACCCCCGCCTCATCCTCTCTCTGGATCTTAAGAGCGTGCGCCTTGGACAACAAGCCCAGGACCTGCCCAGCCACCCGCGCCGCTTTGACACCAACACACGAGTTCTGGCTTCCTGCGGTTTCTCCTCTGGGAGGCACCACTGGGAAGTGGAAGTGGGCTCCAAGGACGGCTGGGCCTTTGGCGTGGCCCGTGAGAGCGTGCGCCGCAAGGGTCTCACGCCCTTCACCCCGGAGGAGGGCGTCTGGGCGCTGCAGCTCAACAACGGGCAGTACTGGGCGGTGACCAGCCCTGAACGGACGCCCCTCAGCTGTGGGCACCTGTCCCGCGTGCGGGTCGCCCTGGACCTGGAGGTGGGGGCTGTGTCCTTCTACGCTGCAGAGGACATGCGCCACATCTATACCTTCCGCGTCAATTTCCAAGAGCGCGTGTTCCCTCTTTTCTCTGTCTGCTCCACCGGCACCTACTTGCGAATCTGGCCTTGAGAGTCATTGCCCGGCCTCCCGGAGGGAGTAAGCCAGCCAAGGGTGAACTCCTCCCAGTCCTGGCTGCCCATGGGAAGGGTTGTTGCCCTCGGATGGAACCTCCTGGACACTTTGGGTCTGTCTTCCTGACTGTTGCCCCAGGCTGCCTTAGAGGGGCTTCTGCAGACCACAACATCAAAGACATGAGATCGGGCTACTGGGGAAAAGGGCTCTAAGGCTAATTGAGCAGGGGAATATATGGCCTTGGACTCTCCCTCCTGTCTCTTGCCTGTTGTCCCGGTGAGGATTTGGCCTGAACTGTAGGAGGTGGAGGTGGATGAGGAGAGGAGCCCAGCTCCACCAGAGGTGCTTCCTATCACTACCCCAGTTCAGCAGGACCTCTAGTTCCGTGGAACAAAACCAAGCTCTGGCTGTGCAAGGGGACAGCTTCATGATCCCTTCTGCTTTGCCTTCTTGTCAGCTGCCAGCTTTGCCTTCAGAGACCTGGATCTGGCGAGCTTGACAAAGTCGTCTACTCAGGGAGGAGCATGGTATTTCCAGCCCAAAGGAGAGTCTAGGCCAGAACTGGGAAGAGATTTCGATATGTACAATAGGAATAGCCCAGGACAACAGCCTATTGGCATTTCTGTCACTCAACACAGCTTAGCCTGATGAGAGTATATGTACATCCTTGGCCACAGTGACAGGCACACGATCTCACATTTGCCTAAACCCTTTCCAAGTGCCAAAGTACAGTCTCCCTTGGGTAAGGAGACCAAAGATTATGGAATTTTGAAACTCAAGGCAGCACTTATAATTCTACAGAAGCAACCAACTCCAGCATGGAAATGTGCAGGGCACAGGCATATCCCTGACAGACAGTTTCAGGAGCTTCTCAAATGTATGCCAACGGCAGAAGACCCTGGTTTCACGGTCTGCTCAGTCTGTACCCTGGCCGGTGTTAGTCCCTTGGCTAATTGTTCCCCAGATTCTGTATGGCTGTGTTTCTGGGAGAGTGGAGGTGGGCTGTTCACTGCTTAGTATGCTCCTGGAAAGGGGGATGGAAATACAGACTGTGAGCTCATTTATATGGTGCCTTGGCTAATTCTTAACTCCCCCAGTTTGAATGCAAGAGCAGTTGTGAGCAAAGTTTCTGCCAGACAAGGTGAGCATGTGTGTTTATGTGTGTGAGGAACATCTGTATGTGTGTATATGTCTTAGATCTCAGGAATGGGGTGCAGGGCCATGTAAATTTTATAGAGGGCATTTATAAGTATGCACATAGGGTTTAGGTATGAACAGACCTAGGTCAGTATGGTCACACCCTATTATTGATTTGTTGTTGTAAAACAAATATTTGTTGTTGTAAAATATTAATATTAGTCACCCCATATTTAAGTGAAGGTCAAAGGTTTCCTTCCCCCATTACCTAACTACCTAGCTAGATGAAAGCCAGTCTCAGACCTAATTCTGTCCTACACATATTGTTGGCATGCAGGGACAGTGACAATTAAATAGTCTGACTTACAAGCATCTTGGAGTTTCCATGCTCTGTCCCTGAGATGTTTCAAGCACACTTTAAGAGAGATGTAAGAGAGATGTTTTGTTCAGGCCAGCATGACACTGTTCTGGAGAAAGAAATGGCAACCCACTCCAGTGTTCTTGCCTGGAGAATCCCAGGGACGGTGGAGCCTGGTGGGATGCTGTCAATGGGGTCGCAGAGTCGGACACGACTGAAGTGACTTAGCAGCAGCAGCAGCAGAGGTAGACCCAGTGGACATAACACCTGGCAATCAGAATCCAGTGTCCTATAGGCTAGGGACAGGATCATTTAAGAGTTCAGCCTACAGCAGCATCCCAAAGGGTAAATCCTATGTTGTTTAGCTCTAGAACACTGTACCCAATCCATGTATTTGAATACACTGATTTCTACAAGGAAAATCCATTTCTAACATTCATTTACTAATTAAATTGCCTAATGTTATCATCAAGCCCTCATGTATGGCTGTATGGCTTGTATGGCTTTTTGACTGAGTGTTACAATTACCCTTTAATAACTGTGCTGAAGTACTGCAACACATTATAGATCACAAAAGGTAGGGTGACTGGTAGAGGCGCCTGTAGGATCAGGTCTGGGCACTGCAGAGCTGGCTGTCTGTGTGTATATGTGAATATGACCATATGTCTGTCAGAGTTTGTAGAATAACTAGATAGATATATACATACCCGAAGATGTAACAACAGTACATAACAATCACATGTGGTTGGTAAGAGAGATGTTCTCTCTTGGTCTCCAGGGTGGTGCAGTGACGTAGGATGTCACAATGCTGGTGTGAGTATGCCTGTGTATACATTTTCCTCTTCCATCCTTTGACCATTGTAAGCTCTCTGAGGTGTCTGGGCCTCTGAGAGCAATGACTGGCCTAATTTGGTTTCCTTCTGACACCACCTGTTCATTGGTCCTGGATCCTTGACAGCTACTTTGATATGAGAACCCACATCCTTGACACCAGACCCTCACACTAGTCCTCAGCATCCAGACAGGAGGGCACCTAGGAAACTTCCTTGGGCCTGGCTACCCAGTGATCAAAGTCATCTGGCCTTGAAGGCACCAAAGAACAGATTGGGCCATCAGACCAAGATCCACCAACTACAGACACACTTTCTGACCATTTCCGGACTAGGGTTCCTGTCCCTTACCTGGGCTTTCAACCTCTGCCTTTTGCTCCGTGGGTCCTTTGGGGGGCCATGAAGGACCCAGCTCTCCCAAAGTCCAAGACAGGCCTCTAACGGTTGCTTTTTCCTAATTTGTTTTAAGTTGCCATAGATATGAGAACCCACATTCTTGACACCAGACCCTCACCCTCACACTGGTCCTCAGCATCCAGACGGGAAGGCACCTAGGAAACTTCCTTGGGCCTGGCTACCCAGTGATCTGGGTCTCCTGTCCTGATGCAGTCGTTAACACACTGACCACCTGATTTTCCCACCATTCTCTACCAATCTCTCCCTCCTGATCATCTCTTCTACCAGGCTAGCTGGATTCCTCTCAGGACAGGCATATTGTCACCATTCCTTTAGCCTTCCACTCAGGGCCTCGGCCTTGAACGCTATTCTCATACACAATTACTAGTGGACCTCTCTACTCAAGTCTTGCCCCTGATTCCCAGGCCAGGCGGAAGGCCCCGGGCCCTCCAACAGTTCCACCCCCTACCGCAGCGCGCCCTGCCCTCACCCGATCCTTCCTAGCTTCCGCCCACCCACGTGGTCCCCTCTACGCTGGACTTTCTCCCAGGATTTGCGGCTCAGTCTGTGACACTGACACTTACTGATGTTGCAGACTCAGCTGCAGCAGCCGGACTGGGCGGTCACTGGCTGAGGGGCGTGAGCCCCGCCTTTCGGCGTAGCTCTTCTGTCTGCGGCTGCGCGATGATCATAACGTTATCAACTGCTCGTGCGCAGAGTGCAGATTCGCAGCTGGCTCCATAGCTCAGGGGTTAGAGCACTGGTCTTGTAAACCAGGGGTCGCGAGTTCAAATCTCGCTGGGGCCTATCGCATCTTTTTTTTTTTTTTTTTCCCCACCACTCTTTCTCTGGAGAGGGGAAGATGCGCTTGTCAAAGCGACTTTCCGCCATACTGAAAGCCTAGACTTAAATTAAGCAGATCTGAGTGTTTTTGACCTTCAAGTGGCCGCCACTTATAGCTCCTTTCAACCCTCCTGTAGCCTTATCTCTTTAAGAACAAGACCCACTGCTCCCTTGGACTTGCGATCGCAGATTCCGCTGGCTCAGCGAGCCTTCTCCCCAGCGACCCCTCCCTCGCTTCCTTCTGCACTTCCTCTTGGCAAGTTCATGGCGAGTCTTTTTGTTCCCTTCCCGTCACTCCACTTGGGCCAGAGGCTTTGCCGTGTTCCCTAATTCGTTCTCCTTCCTTGCGTGGGGAGCACCTGTGAACGCCCCACACCCACCTCCGTACTCTGGGAATCTATAATTTTAGTTGAGAGTGGGGCTGTGTTTAAGACCCCGCGTCGTCTGCTCTTGGTCCCTGCGATCTGGCTTCTTCAATGAGGTGGCCTTCCGGTAGGGTAGTCACTTGGGGGTTGAAGAATCCCAGGAGTTCGGGTCGCACAAATGCCCCATCGTGCCAGTGTGGGGCAGGTCCATTCGGCTCTTGACGCAAAGCGTGATTCTTTGGATGAGATCTGCCTTGAGTGAGGGAGAGAAACGGGTACCTTCTCTGCCACGCGCCCCACCCATCTCATTTACCCTTCCTGGGCGTCTACCCAGGTTCCCGCGAGCAGTTTTCTCTTCTCTGGTTATCCAGCCCGGGCTCTATTTTCCAAAGCTGATCCAAGTTAGACCTTACGTTGATTGGCGACTCACTCCGGGCTTTTCTGAGGGTCCTAACCCGCCGGATGGCGCGGCGGGATTAATCACGTCTCTGCCTCTGCCAAGACCCCCACCCTCTGCCATGGGTCATGCCTGCGAAGGCCACAGCAGGCGGGCACCCAAGACCTCCAGCGGGCCTGGTTCTGTCCATTGGGCAGGGCCCCCATTGTTCACTTAGGATTTAGGCTTATTTTGTGCACTTGATTTCCATTCACGGCATTAATAAATCAATCAGACAGGTCATCATGAATTACTGCTCTTGGTCCGTTAAAAGGAAAACCAAAAGTTGTGTGTGTGTGTGTGTGTGTGTGTGTGTTTAACTGGAATTGAATGTGACAAAGTTGTAGTCTTTAGGTCCAGGTATCACGAATGTGGATTCTTTCTTTCTTTCTTTCTTTTTGTTGCCTTTTTCTTTATATAAAACCATAGAGAAGACAGCGAATGCTTACAACACCGAGGCAGTAGTGGCCAAGGGGCCAAGGACGCACCGCGGCGGTAAGCAGAGGTGAGCCCACCTACCGCTGAATGCGCAATGGAGAAGGGGAAGACACAGCGTGTGGGGATGAGGTGCGTGAGCATCGTAGTCTCCAAGGAAGAGGCCGAGAGGAGGAGCACTTGAGTGGAGAGGTCAGGGCAGAGCGCTGAGCTAGATCTAAGAGAAGGGCAATAGGAAACAAAGAGCACGCTCTCCCCCACCCTCCCACCCCCATCCCGGAGTGGGTTTACCAGCATTCGTCTCCCACGCTGTTTTGTAACAGCTATCTCTGTAGGGGAATTTCTCTGCTAGTGGCGCAAAAATACACTTTGAGGTCAACTCTAAGTGGATTTTTGTGAATTTTTCTAGCAAGGTCTCAGAATAATCGCTTTTCACAACTAGGTTACCCAGTGGAATGGGAACAGGAAAGCACCCGCACAGTCTGGGTTTCGGGTTCACCCGGCGCAAGACTGTTCTGGGACGATCCCGGCCGAACGCAGCGAGGGCGGAGAGCAGGGACACGCGGCCTGGGCGCCGCGCCTAGGTGTGCGCGAGGGCGCTGCGGCGAACTTTGCCGGGTGTGCACCAACTGCCGCTGCCCGTCACTCTTGACGGGGCGGGGTTCGTCTCATGTATGCTTTTCATTTCTCACTGTCCTACATTTTCGGAATACTTTGGCAAACAAGTAGTTGTTTTAGAAAACATTTTCATAAAATGATAGGAGAAAAGCCCCCGCCCCCTTACCAGGCGCTCGATGGGATGCGGTTATCCAGATTTCCTTTCGTCTGCTGCAGCTACGGACCTAGTCTACCCCTCCTCGTCCCCGACTCTCTTCAGGGACCCTCAGGCTCTCCCGGCTTCTGTGCCCTGCCTCCCGTTCTCCAGACTTGCGCCTTATTTGGACTCCACTGGGAAAAGAGGAGTTCCCGCAGTGGAAGGGTGCCCCCTGCCTGCTGCCCGAGAAACCTTAGCAATGAGGCGCTCGTTGGGATTCCAGGAGATCTCAGAGTGGCCAAGAGATACCGAGGATTGATGCTGAGTGAACTATCTACAGCTGAGACGGCGGACGTGGATATCGTCGAAGTGGGATAGGTCGGGCGTGAGAGAGTCCGAGATGCACAGAACATTTTCGACGTGCCAGAAAGAAAAACTGGTTTTCTCAGTGGGTAAACTAGTCCACATAGCATCATAACAAGGACTGACCCAATCACTCCCGAGGGGGCGGCAGACTCTTTTGTCTACAGGTTACAGTTTTCGCCTCTGACGCGATAGGTCCCAGGTTCAGACCCTAACGAGCCCTTTTCTTCTTTTCCTTTGTTTCTTTCTTTCTAAAAATTTCTCATGTGGACAGTTTTGGTCCTGGACGGGTAATGGGCATTACCAAGCGTTCGGGGATCGGAAAGAAGTACGGGTAGAAGAAAGAGTGGGTGAGGCGCTTCAGAGCCGGTGGTTCCCCGTGAGAGACTGGGAGCAAAGCCTCCCGCGGGTGTTTCCACTGATCGGGTCGTGGGACCATCCTTTCCCACCACAGAACTGTATATTCACTGATCCCACCAGTATTCCTAAAAATCAATAGTGTCACAAAGATGACCAAGCTCAGGCGTTTCTGTATTGTAGTAATTACCTTCATCTAACAGCTGAAAGGTCTCCAGTTTGAAACTGAGGGGAAACAAAGTTGGTAGCATCCTGAGGGGTTTTTTCCCCCCCACTATTGGAAATTTATTACTTTGAGGTAAATTTGGTCCTAGTCCAGGACGTCCCAGTCCAAGACATCCTGTCATCACCTTTACCTGGTTACAGAGGTGTACACTTTTCCAGTGAAGAGAAATTTAACATTTACACCTCTGGATTCTCATACTCAAGAGGCATTAATCCATGCAAGTGGTATTAACCCACCCCATTTTCAGTTTGGGACTTTGCACTCACTGAGTTGGGTTATTTTGCTTGTTTTCAGTCACTCAGTCGTGTCCAACTCTTTGTGTCGCCATGGACTGCAGCATACCAGGCTTCCCTGTCCTTCACCATCTCCTGGAGCTTGCCCAAACTCATGTCCATTGAGTCAGTGATGCCATCCACCATTTCATCCTTTGTCGTCCCCTTCTCTTCCTGCCTACAATCTTTCCCGGCATCAAGGTCTTTTCCAGTGAGTCAACTCTTCGTAGCAGATGGCTGAAGTATTGGAGCTTCAACTTGAGCATCTGTTTTTCCAATGAATATTCAGGGTTGATTTCCTTTAGGATTGATGGTTTGTTCTCCTTGCAGTCCAAGGGACTCTCAACAGTCTTCTCCAACACCACAGTTCAAAAGCATCAATTCTTCTGCATTCAGCCTTCCCTATGGTCCAACTCTCACATACATACATGACTACTGGAAAAATCATAGCTTTGACTAGACGGACCTTTGTCAGCAAAGTAATATCTCTGCTTTTTAATATGTTGTCTAGATTTGTCATAGCTTTTCTTCCAAGGAGCAAGCATCATTTAATTTTGGGGCTACAGTCACCTTCTGCAGTGATTTTGGAGCCTAAGAAAATAAAATCTGTCACTTTATTTTCTCCTTTCTATTTTGCCATGAAGTGATGGGACTGGATGACATGATCTTCCTTTTTTGAATGTTGAGTTTTAAGCCAGTTTCTACACTCTCCTCTTTCACTTTCATCAAGAGGCTCTTTAGTTCTTCTTCACTTTCTGCCCTTAGGGTGGTGTCATCTGCATATCTGAGGGTATTGATATTTCTCCCAGCAATCTTAATTCCAGCTTGTGCTTCATCCAGTCCAGCATTTTGCATGATGTACTCTGCATATAAGTTAAATAAGCAGGATGACAGTATACAGCCTTGTCTACCCCTTTCCCAATTTTGAACCAGTCTGTTGTTCCAACTGTTGCTTCTTGACCTGCATACAGGTTTCCCAGGAGGTAGGTAAGGAGGTCTGGTATTACCGTTTCTTTAAGAATTTTTCATAGCTTGTTGTGATCCACACAGTCAAAGGCTTTAACATAGTCAATGAGGCAGAAGTAGATGTTTTTCTGGAATTCTCTTGCTTTTTCTATGATCCAAGGGGTGTTTCGCCGAAAGCTGGCAAACAGAGTCTCATGCTCAGAATAAAGGAAAGGTCGCGACTCAGCGACCAATATCCATAATCTTTTTTTGTGAAGGATTGAGGGGGCGGGGAAAAAAGTTACCAACCAGCTGGCAGCGGTGGGATTCGAACCCACGCCCCCGAAGAGACTGGAGCCTTAATCCAGCGCCTTAGACCGCTCGGCCACGCTACCTCACAAGAATGAGAGTTTTTTGGTATTGTTTTTCAATTTAGATAACGTCACCAGGCTCCTGAGGGAAATCGTGTGTTCCGGTTCCTCTACAGTTCGGAGCAGAATCAATCACACTCCAACTAGCAGAATTAGATTGGCCAGAGTCACGGGAGCGGAATCCGCACCCTGCGCTCCTCTGAAAAAGGATGAGCCGTGAAGCCCAGACCACAGCACACAATGGTTTTGGGAAGAACACCCAAGTCACTCCGGCATTTCACTTTTGGCAAGTGGGCGTGGAAGTACGGGAAGACTTCTACACTATCACTTGTTTTATTTTTATATTTTAACTGTGATCTTCTGTTGTTTTTATAAATTAAAAAAAAAAAAAACACAGAAAGGAACCCTGCACTACTTCTCCCGGTTCTTTCTTGTTTACCCCATAACATTTTTTGGTAATAACACAGACACATTCAGAAGTGGCTCATTAACGATCGCGTGGCCACCATCTCAGGAGCCTCCATCCTTGCAGTTTTGTTGCCTGAAGTTTCCACCCTTGAAACCAATGTTCCAGGTGGAGATATAGCGCCCTGACAAAAAAAGCTTGATCGCACACTGCATGGAGACCTCCCCGCCTCCCCGCCCCTCACCAATCATAAAAACACATTTCTTAGAAAATGGTAAATCTCAGAAAAATGTATAGAAAAAAGTCCCCTCGCAAACCCCAAACTCAGAGATAACTATCACTATTTGGTGGACCAATCTCCAGTTTGCTTTCCTGTTGATTTTCACCTGCACCAGTGGAGAAGGAGGTGACAGAGGATGAGACGGTTGGATGGCATCACCGACTCTGCTGGCACGCGCTTAAGCAAACTCCAGGAGGTAGCGTAGGACGGAAGCCTGGCATGCTGCAGTCCATGGGGTCGCAAAGAGTCCGACAGGACTTAGAGACTGAACAACAACAGTGAGGCCATGTCTTTACTTGTGATCATGCACCAGATATAGATTTGAATTAAGCTTTTCTTTAAAAAATTATCTATCTCCATGCCAGTGCATAACTTATGACAAGCTTAATTAGAGGAGGAGACAGAGGGAAACTTCAGATGCTGAGGTAGATTTCTGGGCAGGTTTAAAATCTTTAAGGGTTGACAGACATGAGTGTTCAGGAAGTCTCTTTTAGATGTAGGGCTTTCCTTTCACTTGACAATTTTCACTTAACAGTTATTACATTATGAAGTTGAAATAGTCTTTTACCTCTAGAGTAAATGAAAATCAGAGAGCGAGAGAAATAAACAATTTCTCTAGAGCATAAAGATGTTAGAAATAGTTTGTTTTCCTTTCACAAACATCTTAATGTATAAAATTTGAAACTTCATTAAGGAAGTCTTAATTTTGACTTTTAAAAATTGTCAAGACAATGAATTTTCTTATAGCCTTCTAAACGTTTAAGATCCAAGTACAAGCAAAATTTCAGATGCTCTTGGAAACACATTTTTGGATATAGCACACACGATGCATATGTCTTTGGGGACTTGATTATCCTTTTGAGATATTGAAGAATACTCAGTTTATCTTACATTACAAATTTAGCCTTTGATAACCACAACTTGGATGGATCACAAAGTGCAACCTTCAAAGGTTTCTCAATATACCCTCAGTCTGGGGAATTCCCTGGTGGCCTAGCAGAATCGCACTCATCTCACATGCTAGCAAAATAATGCTCAAAATTCTCCAAGCCAGTCTTCAACAGTAAGTGAACTGTGAACTTCCAGATGTTCAAGCTGGATTTAGAAAAAGCACAGGAACCAGAGATCGAATTGCCAACATCTGTTGGATCATTGAAAAAGCAAGAGAATTCCAGAAAAACATCTATTTCTGCTTTATTGACTATGCCAAAGCCTTTGACTGTATGGACCACAACAAATTCTGGAAAATTCTTAAAGAGATGGGAATACCAGACCACCTGACCTGCCTCCTGAGAAATATGTATGCAGATCAAGAAGCAATAGTTAGAACTGGACATGGAACAAAAGACTGGTTCCAAGTTGGGAAAGGAGTATAAGGCTGTATATTGTCACCCTGCTTATTTAACTTATATGCAGAGTACATCATGAGAAATGCTGGACTGGATGAAGCACAAGCTGGAATCAAGATTGTCGGGAGAAATATCAATAACCTCAGATATGCAGATGACACCACCCTAAGGGCAGAAAGTGAAGAAGAACTAAAGAGCCTCTTGATGAAAGTGAAAGAGGAGAGTGTAGAAGCTGGCTTAAAACTCAACTTTCAGAAGACTAAGATCATGGCATCTGGTCCCATCACTTCATGGCAAATAGATGGGGAAATAATGGAAACAGTGATAGACTCTATTTTTAGGGCTCCAAAATCACTGCAGGTGGTGACTGCAGCCATGAAATTAAAAGATGCTTGATCCTTAGAAGAAAATTTATGACCAAACTAGACAGCATATTAAAAAGCAGAGACATTGGCTCCATAGCTCAGGGGTTAGAGCACTGGTCTCGTAAAAAGCAGAGACATTTCTTTGCCAACATAGGTCCATCTAGTCAAAGCTATGGTTTTTCTAGTAGTCATGTATGGATGTGAGAGTTGGATTATAAAGAAAGCTGAGCACCAACGAATTGATGCTTTTGAACTGTGGTGTTGGAGAAGACTCTTGAGAGTCCCTTGGACTGCAAGGAGATCCAACCAGTTTATCCTAAAGGAAATTAGTCCTGAATATTCATTGGAAGCTGAAGCTGAAATTCCAATACTTTGGCCACCTGATGGGAAGGGCTGAATCATTGGAAAAGACCCTGATGCTGGGAAAGACAGACGGCAAGAGGA